ACTGGTCTTTGGTTTGAGTAGAAGAAAATGCAAAGCGTGAAAATACACACATCGTGGGGCAGCCGATTTACAACATGGCGAGCTGTTTGAAAGCTAACGCCCATAACTCTCTTGGAAGACTCCTCACATGCAGTCAAGACAAGCAAACTGATGTAAGATGAGCTAATTAAATCAGCATGAATGGTGATGATTTTGTCCCTGGCCATGGAGGCAGTCGATTTACAACATGGTGAGCTGTTATGAGCTAATTAAATCAGCATGAATGGTGATGATTTTGTCCCTGGCCATGGAGGCAGTCGATTTACAACATGGTGAGCTGTTATGAGCTAATTAAATCAGCATGAATGGTGATGATTTTGTCCCTGGCCATGGAGGCAGTCGATTTACAACATGGTGAGCTGTTTGAAAGCTGACGCCCATAACTCTCTTGGAAGACTCCTCGCATGCAGCCAAGACAAGCAAACTGATGTAATTTTGTTGCGGGGTTTCTGGACAAGTCAGTTGACGCTGAACTCCATGCTCCTTACAGTATTCCATAAAATCATTTGAAAGATATTCCCCACCATTATCCGTGTGCAAGTACTTGATTTTCAATTCAAATTCTTTTTCTACAGCATGCTTAAACTGAATAAATTTTGAAAAAGCTTCACTTTTGTGTTCTAAGAAGTATACCCAACTGAAACGAGAGAAATCGTCCACAAACACCATCACGTAATGAAAGCCGGAATAGCTTGCTGTTCGCGTCGGTCCCAAAAGATCAGAATGAATCAATTCTAATACTGTTGAAGCTCTACTCCTTGAGCTTGTGAAAGGAAGACGATGAGACTTGCCATATTGGCAGCCTGGACAAATCTCATCATGCTGAATATCTTTAAAGATAGGGACACCATCAAGAAGTTGTTTTGTGGATATTTTCTGCAACAACTGGAAACCCACATGACCCAACCGAGCATGCCAAAGAGTTGAGCTTGCATTATGAACAACTTTCTTGATATATTCATCACTAGCTGATAAAACGTACAAAGATTCTTTTCTTTTTCCATAGAATATGATATCAGCAGCAACATGTTTCACATTAGATAATATTTGAACATCTTTAGGACCAAAATGAGAACATACCTTCCTGAATCTGTTATTTGTGATACAGAAGCAAAGTTTTTTTTCAAACCCGAAACATGATAAACGTCCTTGAGTAGAACACTCCCATCATTCAAATCTCCTTCTTTCGTCACAGGATGCATTTAATTATCGGCTGTCATTTGGACCTTCTTTTGAAAATGTGGACGAACATTTGATAAAAGAGTTTCGTTTCCACTTGCATGATGAGAACAACCGGAATCAACGATCCATTCTTCATCGTAGTCTATAAAGGCATGAGCACTTGCAGAACCACCATCTTGATGTACAACTGAGGTCACATTCGTTGGCTGGTCAAGAACCTTAGTAGTTAAGCAGTATTCCCAAATTAGATCTGAAGATTTTTTCTTGCGTGTACAGCATTTGCTTCTGATTCCTGCATTTTGACTCGGCAATTTGGCTTAATATGACCTGACTTTTCGCAACGATGACACACCACTTTCGCGCTTGACAATCTCGTTTAAAATGGCTAGGTTTTTCACACCTGTAGCAAGCTTTAAATGGCTTCTTTGACGACTGCTCACTTCTGAATTGATTCGCATTACTTGATGAAGGCTTTGAATGAAAATTTTGTCTCCTTTGATCTTTGACAGACAACGTATCTTCTAACTTTGGGGAAAACTCGTTGCTGCTGGTCATTTGCTTAACCAAGGCTTCCTAATTTGAAAGAAGATTCTCCAGTTCAATTACCGTAGGCTGATTTGCCCACCCTTCTATTGAGGAAACAAAAGGCATAAATTCTTTTCGTAATCCACGAATAAGATAACGCCGTAATCGAGCATCTCTCATTGGCTCCTCAGCATCTAATTCTGAAATTTCAGAACATAGATTTTTCACTTTCAAGAAATATTCTTCAATAGAAAAATTACCTTGAGTTACCACAGCCAGTTCATTCTCTAGAAATTGCAATCGAGCTGTATTTTTTCTTAGTGAACAACTTTTGAAGGGTTTTCTATACTTGCTTTGGTGACTTTAAATCACGAACATGATCAATATATTCCTTGCTAATAAGAGTTCGCAAGGCAAATAAGGCTTTTCCACATTTGATCTTCCATTTTCGGCGTAATTCAACATTCTGTGGAGTGTCGGCTGGAATTTCTGTGTCATCACCTTGAATTAAATCCCACTAATCTTGTTTCTGTGGATAAGCTTCCATACATAACTTCCAATAATTGTAATTATTGCCAACAAGCTTTTCCATAGATACACCCATAGAGGCACTTTCACCATTCATCTCGTTGAGTAATAATATCAAACCGTACGAACTTGGCTCTGATACCAACTGTCACAATATCTCACGCTCAAATGTGTGAATAAATATGAAATTATTATTACTCAAAGAGGATAATACAGAGACAATTAAAAATAATGAACTGCTCTACAGTGGCTTGTGTTTTACTAAGGGGAGGGCTCCTATTTAAACGGAAATAAATCCTATAAATAGCTCATACAAAAACTACTGAAATAAACTATTCCTCCTCGTAAAGATGAATAGCCTAACAACTTAACTAATTCCATCTAAAATAAGTTGCACGAATTTTGACAGCCTCCCTTAAAGCAAGCTTATTTCTTAATAACTTCGAGAGACGTACGAAAAGCTTCAAACTTCACTTTGGTATGTATTTTCTGCAATTCAACATCCTGCGATAATACTTTCTCTAGAACAAAATGATAATGAGTTTCAATATGTTTCGAACGAACATGAAACACCGGATTTCCAGCGATTTTTATTGCACTTTCATTATCACAATTGATTTGAATTGGCCGATTGAGAGTAGTCACCATTTCTTGAATAAGCCTTTCGAGCCACAAGCATTCTTGAGTAGCCATTGTAGCAGCTACATATTCTGCTTCACAGCTTGACAAAGCAACGGTACTTTGCTTTTTACTTCACCATGAAATTGCGAAAGAGCCTACTGTAAAACAAAACTTTCCTTCTCTACGAGGTATCTTAGAGGTGGCACGCAAGGTACGGGGCACTTAAACTTTTCTTCTCTACAAAAATTACACAAGGATGAGATGGTGCACGGTTTGCCGGCAATCAAAGGCGTGAATAAGCTGTGTGACGGGTGCCTCATCGGCAAACAGAGGCGCACCCCCGGCATCTACTTCATCCCGAGGCTCAAGCTAATCTTGGGAGCTTGGGTCAACTTGATGAGGTCGACTGCTTCATTTCCATCGAGCGTGAGCTACTCAAAATCTACGATGATCGACGACGGCTGCTCACGACAAACCGTCTTTACATCCTGGATTTGGAGATAGAGCAACCCGTCAGCCACTCGGCCAAGACCGAAGAGGTATCTTAAAGGTGGCACGCAAGGTACGGGGCACTTAAACTTTTCTTCTCTATAAAAATTACACAAGGAGGAGATGGTGCACGGTTTGCCGGCAATCAAAGGCGTGAACAAGATGTGCGACGGGTGCCTCATCGGCAAACAGAGGCGCACCCCCTTTCTGTCTCAGGCATCCTACCGCGCGGCGATATTTGCGGCCACATCAAGCCGACGAGCCCAGGCGGCAAGACCTTCTTCCTCCTGCTGGTCGATGACAAAAGCCTCTTCATGTGGTTGATCCTGCTGCAAGCGAAAAGTGAGGCAGCATAGGCGGTTAAACGCATTCAAGCGCGAGCGGAGGCCGAATATGGGAAGAAGATGCGACTGCTGCACACAGACCGAGGCAGAGAATTCACCTCGACAAGTTTCGGTAAGTACTGCGACGAGTTTGGCATACAACGACACCTAAGGCGCCCTACTCCCCCCAACAGAACGGAGTGGTGGAGCGCCAAAATCAGACCATCGTCGGGATAGCAAGGTCATTGTTGATGATGGTCGGGATGCCTAGGAGATTATGGGGAGAGGCGGTAATGATGGTAGTCTACCTCCTCAATCGTTCACCAATGCGAAGCCTCGACGGGAAGACGCCACACGAGGCCTGATACAACAAGAAGCTAGCAGTACATCATTTTCGAGTGTTCGGCTGCATCGCATACATGAAGGTGGCGCGTCCCCACCTCACCAAGCTCGATCCCAGGGGGCTGAAGGTCGTCTTCATCAGCTACGAACCTGAGAGCAAGGCATACAGACTCTATGATCCTGCGGGGGGGGCGAGCTCACGTGTCTCGCGACGTCATCTTCGATGAAAACACCTTCTGGCAGTGGAACGACGTGATTGAGGCAAACCACAATCAAAATCAATTCATGGTGGAGTACCTCGTCACCGAGCCGGAAGAAGAAGGAGCACAACTTCAGGAACCGTCACCGTCGTCAGCAGCTGCACCCCCTAAACTAGTGGAGTTTGCAATACCACAGACTGCGGATTCCACGCTAGATGCCGATCACGATGATAATCTGGTGGCCAAGTACCGGAGGATGGAAGACCTAGTGGAAGGAGGTGAACCACCGGACAGGCACCGCGCGAACTCGAACAAGAGGTGGCCGAACTGCATGCCATCGGCGCAGATGAACGAAACACCTTCGCCGAAGCAGAAAGGAATGCGTGCTGGATGAAGGCAATGTAGGAGGAGATGACATCCATCACCGAGAACCAGACATGGACTCTAGAGGGCATGCCGCCGGGACACTGAGCCATAGGGCTTAAATGGGTCTTCAAATTGAAGCGTAACGAAAAGGGAGAAGTTGTGAAGCACAAGACCCATCTGGTGACGAAGGGCTACGTCCAGAAGCAAGAAATAGGCTTCGAAGAGGTATTTGCGGTGGTGGCTAGGTTAGAATCCATCCATCTTTTGCTGGCAATCGTGACCTATTGCTCTTGGGAGGTCCACCACATGGACGTGAAGTCCGCTTTCCTTAACGGAGAGCTAAAGGAAACTGTCTACGTCTGATAACCACCTGGGTTCCTGGACAATGACAACCCCAGTAAGGTACTGCGCCTGCACAAGGCACTCTACGGGCTTCGACAAGCACCACGAGTGGGATGCGAAGCTCGACAATACCCTACTGTCACTGAAGTTCAAGCGCTGTGCCTCTGAGCATGGCATGTACACGCACGGCCACGACGAGCAGCGACTAATTGTGGGAGTGTACGTCGACAACCTCATAATCACTGGAGGCGACATGGAAGTCCTTGGAAGATTCAAGAGGGAGATGTCAAAGAACTTCAAGATGAGTGATTTCGGCATACTCAGTTACTACCTCGGCATCGAAGTGCAACAGAGTACTGTCGGCATCACCATCTGTCAAAGTGCGTACGCAAAGAAGCTGTTGGACACTGTCGGGCTAGCAGACTGTAACCCTACAAGGACGCCAATGGAGGCCCGACTCCAACTGAGGAAGGTCGGCACTACGACGGCAGTCGACTCCATCAATTACCGCAACCTTGTCGGGAGTCTGCGCTATCTAGTAAACACATGCCCTGATCTTGCTCATTCCATTGGATACGTGAGTAGATTCATGGAAGCACCTAGGGAGGAGCATCTTGTGGCTGTCAAGCACATCCTACGCTATGTGGCTAGAACCAGAGGCTGGGGTGTGAGATACTGCGCAGGGAAAGGAAAGAAGAAGCTTGAGCTGGTCGGCTACAATGATAGTGACATTGCCGGTGACGTTTATGATCATAAGAGCACTAGCGGAATGATCTACTTCCTCTCAGGCGGCGTGATCTACTGGCAATCAACAAAACAAAAGGTAATTATTTTGTCTTCCTACGAAGCATAATACATCGCCGCTTCGACGGCAGCAACACAGGGGGTCTAGCTTGCGCGACTGATGGAAGAACTCATCGGAAGAGAAAACGATCCACCAATGCTATACGTGGACAATAAAGCTACGATCTCCTTGATAAAAAATCTAGTTTTGCACGATCGGAGCAAGCACATAGAAATCAAATTCCACTACATCCAAGAATGTGCAGATCGAGGGCTCATCAAGATTGATTTCATCCAAACAGAGAAACAGCTTGGAGACATTTTCACCAAGTCCCTAGCGTGGGTAAAATTTGAAGAACTACGCTCAAAGACCGGAGTTCAAATAATAAGGTAGATACACCACAGCTTTTAGGAGGAGATTGTTAGATAAAAGTTATGGTTTCCTCAGATTTCGTTAGTTGTTTTTTACTTTTGAAAAATCTGAATTAACTCTCATCGGGAAGAGTGTAATTTTTGCTGGCCATTTTAGCAAACTTTGGGCGCAAGTTTGTGCCCACTACGACTAAATATAGGATTAAATTTGTTATTTAAAGTATTCAACTGAATGAGAAAAAGAAAATGAAAAAGAAAAAAAAGATGAGAAATCGGCCGAAGTCAATAGAGGGGCAAATAAGTCATTTTCCCCCTCCATCTATTATAGGGGTCCAAGTGGTACCCTAAAGTAGTCACCAAAAAGGAAAAGAAAGGGTAGGAGAATATTTGGGAGAATCGAGGATCCGCCACGAAACTTCGTCCAGAACCGAGGTGAGTTCTTGAATATTTCCCAGATCGGAAACTAACCTTTATGAATCGGGACCTAATACTTGGATATGTTCATCTAGGAAAGGTCTTCCACTGATTTCGTGAACAAACATGGCCGAAAACGTGAAGGTCTGAGAGATCTCCCAAGATCGGTAAGAATGCAAACAGATCTACTTTTGTTGTGCGTAACTCGTTCCATGATGTGGAAAAAAAATATTAGAGCGTAGATGGTATTACGATCTACAACTTTGCAAAAGGAATTGTGTTGATTCGAGTTGTAGATCGAAAGACAAAAAAAATGTAAAGATTCAAGAAACTTACCCATTTTTTCAATTTCATTGGATAGGAGGGGAGAAAAAATATTCTGACGACCACGTGTCGCTGGCGACCGAAGAAACACGTCTCAGTCGAAGATGCACACGCATCAATTTTTAGGTGGAGACGCGCGTCAAACATCGGGTGGAGCAACGCAGTCTTGTCCTTTTGGTGACACGCCGCCGACCCGACCCACTAACCTGCATACGAACAAGCTTTGATCAGTGGCCCAGCGAAGCAGTCAACTGGTCCAACACAAATCGTGCGACCTGAATTGGACCGCGACCCGCAACGGCTAATTCCTGTCTGCGCATGGTACGCGTGTGTGAGAAGCTCAACTAGCCTTCGCCTAAGTGCGTGGGAGCGCGTGTGTCTGTTTTCGCCCCGTCCGTCTTTTTTTTTTTTTTTTCTAATTCCAATTCTAACAATGTTTTTATGCAAACTAGGACTTAATTGGAAAAATCAGTACTTTTGGATGCCATACGGTCGTAGAAATGCTAGCAAAAGAACACACGTCATCCATGTAAGTCACGACACATAACATAGGAAAAAATACTTGTAGGAATCACTTTAGTATGCATGCATGCTAGATTAATTTCCTTAGTTGATTGGATTCTTCCATGCTCATAGTCATCATGCCCTAAGTCCTACCATTCTTATAAGTATTCCCTCCATAATAGTTTAAATGGTTGCTAACACATTTGTGTTTGTACGATGGCACTGTTCTCTAGGTTTCTTAAATTCAAATTTTTTGAAATTTCTTGGGAACTCCTAACTTAAGTCAGGTTTACAAAAACAAAAACAAAATCCACAAGAATCAATCTCAAAGTGGTCAAACTTGGCAAAAAAAAATTATAATTTCTAGGTTCTTTTACAATAAAAAAAAAAGTCAATCTATTGGACAAGGAGTCCTAGATCATTTCAACCTTCGAGTTTTTCACAAAAAATATTCATTTCTTCACTACGAAATTCTATGAATTTTTTTCTACATTTACATTAAAGGATTAAAATTCTTACTCGACAGAGTACTTCCAAATTCACCTTGATTCACATCTCCCTCATCCTTCACACATCCATAAAAAATATCTCTTATGAGTGCAAAAAAAGTGATCGGTAGAAAAAAAAAACCTAAATTCAAATTTCTTACCATGGCTAGTCCGAACGAGATCAAGTTCTATGAGTTTCAATCATCGATTTTTTCACCAAACTTGTAGTCCTTGTTCATTTGGAACTAAAAAGACAAAAATTAGCCTTTAAGGTGGATTCTAAAGAGAAGTATTTTGAAAAAATTCGAAAACACTTATCCAATAAATTTTTAGCTGGTTGTCATTCCTACTTCTTTTCCAAATTGGTCAAAATGGTAAAATAAACTAATAATTTTTATTAAAATCCATCAATTCCCAGACCTTAAAACTAGTAGGGAGAGTTGAGGATTTAGCCTAGAAGTGGATAATTTGAAGAAACTGCATGACCAAATTTATGTGGAGTGAGGAGCCACTTATAATGGCCAATTCATATATGAAAGTTAAATTTCTAAATGGTATATTATTCCTGAAATTTCTTAGATATGTGTCCCTTATTGATTTGCATGTTTTTTTTTTTTTTAGTTGAACGAATGAGACTGAGAGTAAGAATTAAAGATTTAAATATCTTATTTATTGGTCGAAGATGCATATCTTTACTAGTTGTTCTATGTTTAGATTGACATCTTCTAAATTATTAACACTTGATACCATAGTTAATTATTCGAGATAAGATATCACATATTTATTTTAGAAGGGATAAGTAAATAACAACTAATTTTGAACTATATGGTTACAGAATTTGAAAACCATAATGTTAATCGATAAAAGAATTTTAATTTGATTATATATATATATATATATAATCAAAATAATTTGAATTTGACTGTCATGATATCATATAGTTAATAAACTCAATAAAATGCTTAAATGTTTTTGAAAATAAATATACCAAATATATTTTCATAACAGGTCCTCAACCATGTGAGAATCTAGTCTAAATAAATATATACTTTCTTTACAAAAATATTTATTAACTTTCAAAAAAAAAAAATTAATAATATTCTCAAGTTTTTTTTTTCTTTTCTTAATACCCTTAATTTAGTTTTAGACGAGTGAGGTGTCCTATGCTTTTTTAAACTTTAAATTTTCATTAATTTCTTTTTTAAAATGTTATAAAAAATATATATATCATTACATTGGATCCGTACTTTGTTCGAGAAATACTCAAAACTTTTAAAAATCCCACTAATACTCTTATCCTTTATAATAATAATAATAAAAAGTAAAATCTTATTATCGTCTAAATAAAAATCATCTATCTATATCTCATAGAGCATTTTATTCTTCAATTTTAAGGATATTGACGCTTTCTAAAAATAAAAGAGTATTGATGTTAATTTCGAAAGTTTTGTGAATATTTTTGAAACTTGTACTAATAGTTTGGTCGTATTTTTTTTCATTTAAAAAGTTTAAATGTAACTTCCCTCAATTTATAAGTACTTTTGTTGTGATATGGAGCCTGATGCCTGGAGTCTGATGCCTATTTACAGTAAAGATCGGTAAAGATATGTTTGGTAGATATTTCGTAAAGATCTAATTGAGATATATATGGTACATATTTGATAAAGATTTGATAGAGATATATTTGATAGATTATATTTGATGGTTAAATCTTTAAAGACTATATTTAATAAATTGAAACTCTATATATATAAGGCAGTGCTCTTGAGAGATCTTAGATAAAGATTTGATATGATAGACTTGGATATATGAGCGTTAAAGGAATGACGACGCTAACTGAGAGTACTTCAACTTCAAGGCTGTGACATAATAGACTTGAACATATGAGTGTTATGGAATGAAGATTTTGGCTGCAAAGGAGTTTTGGAAGGTCTGAAATCTATTGATATGAGTCCTTGTGAGAACTGCGTTATGAACAAATAGAAACGAGTTACCTTCACAAACACTGTCAAAGAATTGAAGAAAAGTATCGGGACAACGAAGCAAAAGGGAGTCGAGGTTGAGTTGTTGAAAGATTCACCTCGTGATATTGTAGCAGATACTCAAGAAACTCCTGAGACTGTTGCTGAGGAACCAGAGTTGAAACAAGTAGAAGTTGGGGTTGAGTTGCTGAAAGATTCACCTAGTGATGTTGTAGCGGATACTCAAGAAACTCTTGAGACTGTTGTTAATGAATCAGAAGCGGAACAAGTGACACCTGAGTAGGTGTTGAGAAGACCATCCAGAACTATTAGAGTACCAGATAGGTATTCAACTCCGTTACACTATTTGTTACTGACTGATGAAGGGATACCAAAGTCCCTTGATGAGACTCTACTGTTGGAGGATACAACCAAGTGGGAGAAAGTCATGGATGATGGGATGTCTAGGCTTCAAAAATGTGTTGCTCTTTCATCTGCTGAGGTTGAGTAGTGGCAAACTGAAGCTGGAAAGGAGATGATATTTATGACAGACTATCTAGAAAAATTAGGCAAGAATCAGCACGAGAAGATTCCTCAGGTAGATAGTTAGAGTGTCATGCAATTGGTGAGGAACCCAATCTATCATTCAAAGACAAAACACAGAAGACGATATCATTTCACTTTAAGGTTAGTGGAAGATGGTGATGGAAGTGGTGATGTGTTTGGAGAAGATAGAGGGTGCAAGGAATCCAACAAACATTTTGTGTTGATGTTGGAACATTGAGGTTGTGCAAAACCTCAAATAAAGATTTGATAGAGATATATTTGGTAGATTATATTTGGGAGATGGCTAAATCTTTAAAATCTATATTTAGTAAATTGAAACCCTATATATAACCCATTACCCAATGATCTCGAAATCTACTTTCTTCGTTCAAAGTATTCCCTCTCGTTGTACCTACAACCTACCTATACTCTCATCAATAAAACATTTAGCCAATATTCCTCATTGAATTTTCTCTCCTGTTCTTTGTGTTCATCTTGATCGAGTGTGCATTGTTGAGCGATCCTAACAAGAGTCGCTACTAACGTCTCATGCTCACCTCTTAAATGTGGAGTATAACTCTTAGATGCTCATCATAAATAACAGAAAATTTAAAAACATTCAGAACACTTCAAACTGCTAGAAAACATTGTCGATCTTATGTGTTTCAAAATATAACATTGGAATTTTAAATTAAAGCAAAAATAATTACAAATGAAATAATTTAAATAAGGAAATGTAAACGTCCTATTATAACCTAAGACTAGGAATTTAAACATACAACTACTTTATGCACATGCCATAGTCAATCATGCTTTTCGTTGTCATCCGTACATGGGCACCTTGCCTTTACCTAAAAAATGATATATCATACAGCCTGAGTATTTTGAAAAATACTTAATAAGTGACCCCACTGTACAAGTCATGCTAATACAAACACATGCAATCATGCTTTTAGGACCTATCTCTAGCTCATCTGGGGTGGCCTCTAGTCTCGGATAAATTGGATGTATAGTACTTCCCTACTCACAACCCACATGTGCGAGTGTGAATCTCCAGGGCGCTCGCACACCCCCTTGACCCTCTGGTCAAGCTAATCTGTAGCGACGTCTGAAGGTCAGTGGAACCCCATAGTGTCATGCTTCCCATGAACACCCTACTCGTCATAATATGTGCGTCCGCATTCATCATCTTTAGGGGAATTATATGCTTATGAACATACAATATGCATGAGGTCCCTTTAAGCCCATCTTATCATCTCTTTGTATCACAACCCTCTAGCCTCATCTCATTGTTACATTAAGTAACACATACTCGTTGGATATTTATATTAATATCATTTTCATGCTCTTAGGATTGTGTCCAATGTCGGTCTATCGACATGATGCAATATGACACTCATCATCATATAGCATGCTTAATATCAAAAACATCAACATATTAAGACAAATGTCATGCAATCATCATACTCATCATATTGCCATAAAGTGCATATTATCAAGAACGTCATACATAAACTATATATATTCGGCACATCATCAAGCATCATAACTCATACATCAATTATATATATTACGCACATCCATAAGCATCATAACTCATACATCATCATAACTCATACATCATCATAGACTCATCCATCTGTTGGGTTTTATGTCCTAAAACTCATAGTTTGTAAATAAAAACATATTCTATTTTCAATAAAATTATTATTGATGTTTATTCAGTAAAGACTGTTATTGAATAAAGTGAATTTTACGATCATTAATCTAAATCCAATAAACTAAGAATACTCTGGCTATAGTATGATTACTTGAACTATATGTAGAGACATAAGAGTGAATCAAGTTCAAATATATAGTCAAAATTATCTATAGTACAGGGATAAGGTTGAACACCTTATCCTAGGGACACTATGGATACGACCCACTTTTGTATATGATATAAACAATGTGATCACTAAATTGTACATGTGGA